TTTGGAAAAAGAAATGTCTGAAATCACAAATTTTTAAAATTCAATTAACTCATTGAATACAACATCTAAGTTATCAGAAAAAGTTAAAATCATGCCTTTTGTCTTTTTATACATAAAAGATGTGGTTTTACGATGCCAAGTTTGTTTGTTTTTTTAGAAAATGGCTGTTCTTCTTCTGACATATTTAACCTCTATTAAAGAAATATTAATGTAGAAAAACAATTAACTTCCCTCCCAGTAAAACAGGAAACAAAAAGGCAAACACAGTACGTTACAATGCGCTGACATGGCTTCAAAGCACACATATTACAGTACTGTACAAGGGTCCGCCTCAGACAAGATGCACCAGAACCACTTCCACTGCTGAGGATCAACCAGACCTCTGAAACAGCTCAGCCTGCTTATTTACAAAACCCAGACCACAGCACGGTGTTGGCAACTGGAAAATGAGGTAAATATTTCCAAAAAAGCACCAAAGGTTTGGCGTTAAAATTTCTATATAGCTTATAACCAGCAGTGTTTTCATCCACAACACTGGAGAAACAAACGACTGCGAATTCATCTGTGATGATCGGAGGCCAGAGAACACACACTGCCAGGACTGCTCGTGTAAATAAGCAGTTTTTCCACTTTTTAAATGAATCGATATTTATAGTGAAGTCCAGACCGAGAGGATTTAAATGTACGTCTTTGCTGGACTCACTCTATTAAATGAAATTTCATTAAAATACTTATTTCATCAAATTATCTCACCACTTGCAAAGTTCTCAGACTTGTCTTGTCTCTTGTTAGGGAGGTTCAGGCTCTTACAAAGCTTAAGTAAAGTAGCGAATATCATATAATGCTTTGACCGATGAACAGTAAAGGTAACGAGCAAGAACCAAGGACACGTAAGGTATTTTAAGATCACCTTTTAGGTGTAAAGAAAAGGAAAACAAAATAAATCTCAGGCCAAATACTTTAGGGGCCACAATCTAGGTCTAAGTAATAAGATGTGCAAACGTAATTGTGCATAGAGCTCAAATTGTAATAAATATTAATGTGATAATTAAAATTATCACCAGTTTGACTTTGTCAGAACTTGCAGGGGTGATTGTACATTTTCATGACTAATTCAGTTTTAATAAAATGTTAAAAAGTTTTTTATATAGTGCTGAGAAAAGCTACTGTTTTTTTAAGCAACAAACACTTCCCATTTATTATTATCCAGAGCCCTGAAAGACAAACACAACCAAACACTCAGTAAAAATCCTGATAAAAGTCATTGATTTGTCAGAGTTATTCAACCAAGTTTAACTTCCTCTGAATGGCTCTTTCACTTTAAAAGTTTCTTTTTAATGTTCTGCCTTATTTCTGCATCAAAGAATCACATGAACAACAAATAACAAACTGAGCATTATAGCGATGTACAGGAACTTTACATAGAAGTACTTTAGTAAGCTTTCAAAAACATAAATGCATCTATCTTAGATGTAGTTTTCATTGTTTCTTCGTCTGATGTAGCTTAAAAGATGAAGCACAATGCCTGTCTTTGGACTGCCGAGGTAATTGTAGGTGTGTGTGTAAAACATGCTGAAATGTTTCCCAAACATTTCCAATGACAAAATAGTGTCCCTCCGAGCCGTCAGGGGCTCGTCCTGGTTCGAGGTATATGATCCTGGGGCTGACCGGTAGCGCCTGTGGTAAATGTTACAAAGCTTGTCTGATGGATGACGGTGATTTTCATTCACGCCGCTGCACATCACGCCTCCTCCTTCCCCCTCCCCTCTATAGTCTCACTCTGCCCGGACCACTCTCCTGCTTCACTGAATCATTCATCAACAACCTTCTTTGTCACCCCGCTTTGCTCCTGAATAGTGCCGGGCTCCATTCACATTCAATTCACTTAATTCAGGGAGATCATTTTTTCTAGCTTGATTACAAAAAAAAAAAAACTTTTACAACAAAAGAGGTTTTAAATGTACTTTCACAATAAATGAGAAGCTAAATTTCCTCTTTGTTCCATTTGAGAGTTTGACCACTGGTGTGTTGTTGCAGTGTTTTTATCCACAAAGAGACAGCGAATGGGACAACACACTTTAGTCTAGGTGAGTGTGTGACTGAGAGAAAAGGCAAATTCATACTCAAAACTCAAGTATTTACAGGACCAAGTTCCAGTTGTCTGTGTAATTTCCCTCCAGTTTATCTCTTTCAACTCTAACAAATGTGACTTATTCTACATTTCCACCACCTAAAGCAAACCCTGAACATTATATTAACTATATATGGATTTGCTTTGAGTTTAATTCACTAAAAACAATGGAGATAAAACCAAACGAAACATAAATGCTACATAGTGCAGCTTAATCTATTTAATGAACTTGTCTGACCACAGGTTTACTAAATTTATTATCTACAGAGGTGTTTGGAATGTTTAAAATATTTTAAGGCCTCACTTGTTACATAATGAAGTCATAATGTGCTTTCTTGTTTAATTGTCAGCAGTTTGTAGTCACTTCCGGTCACTAGCCACTCGCTAGCTAACTACCGTAGGTGTCATCATTTTTATATCGTGGATTTGAATGGACAGACTGATCCGATACGTTATAAAAATTAAAAGGTACCTGCTAATAAAAAGATGATAAATGCAACTAGGTTACAGAAGCTCTTTTTTACTGACAGCTGTTATTTCCATCCAAACATGTTAACGACAACGAGCTAATTCGACAGCACGGCAGGGAAATCTAACATATAGCCTTAAATATGAAATCCTCTCTTTGCACAGTTTTAAATATTCATCAGTTAGGACATGATCTTAATTTCTGGATAAACAAACTGCAATAACAGGACAACAACATATTAGGGGTCAGAAAACTCGCATTTCAGTTCGTATCATGGATTTGGAGTCATGGAGCGAATCGTTTTTGGAATCAGAAAACCAAAATGTCCAAAGTTACAATAAGATCTTAAAGTAAAATAATCAATGTCTTTGTTAAATTAACCTAACCAAGTAGGTTGTAAATGTAACCAAGCTGTGACTGTTTCATAATTGTAATGGTATGTTTGTGACCGTTTCCATGACGACAATAGTCCGTAAACCTTGCTGGTGCGAGATATGCTGTCATCAGTGTTGGTGAGAACACACAACTCCTTTATCTGTATCTTTTCACTGCAATTCTGCATCGAGATTTAGGGAATTATTACTCTAAAAAAAAAAACAAAAAAAAAAAAAACAAACAGCGGCAGCTAAACTGTATTTCACACTGAAACAGTTAAACGTAGTTCACGTGAGTGCCAAACCTCTGGCAGGAATCCGTACTGATCGGGGATCAAACTCCGTTACACCACTAACACAAATGGTCATGGGTTGTAACCAAGCGCAGGAATCTTCACATATTTGATTTTATGCTCTTAAAAAGATACGACGCTGAACAAAACTGACTAAAGTCAGATTTTCAACTTGAATTAAATGAATTGGAGGTGAATCAAACTGTGCCACAGCCTGTCCTTCCACTTACTTACATTTCTATATATCCCACATCCCCACCCCACCTTCCCTTCCACACAGAGACGCTACAGCCCCCCTCACCCACTGCTAAGCCCACCCTGTTTTCCTAACCTCTTTGGTGACTCTCTGTTGTGTTTGAAATAGGGTTCCTACACATTCGCCATTTGAAAATCAAGACTTCTTTCCATCAAAAACTTTCTGCCGATATTTTGGATGGCTGTGATTAGCTGCGGTTACATGGGCAATATTCCACAGATTCCAACTGAATCTTTACATGGACGCTGATCCGACAAGATGGGTGTTTACATGCTCAAAGTATTTAATCAGAATATAATGTTTATGAAATGCGCAAAGTGGTTCCACTCACGTTATGTCGTCACCAGCTAGGTAGCATCACTGGTACTGTAGAAGCCAAGCCGTTAGCCAGCCTGATGTAGGGTTGCCAACCATCCCATAAAATATGGAATCATTCTGTAACTGGAAACTAAAAGAACTGTTCTGTATTGAACCAATACAGGTCGAGCTGCGTTTCATATTTATGAGAATCATTCAGTCCTACTGACAGAAGGAAACCCTCCTGTCCCCACTGTCACGGTCCACAGTGGAGCTTCCACTACCAAAGACTCAGGACGGATGAGAAGCGCTGTCAGTACAGTTACGATACACCTGACAGGCGGCGCAGGATTATAAAAATGGTAACCTGCCAACCTAGTCTGCCAGCAAAAAACAAGGACAAGGTTGCAAAATTAACGAAGAGAATGGGAAAATGAATATAAATGGCTGGAATGTGTAAATGACAGTGTGTACAAGGAGTACTGCACCGTTTGCCACCAGGCTTTCTCAATAAGCCACAGAGGAATCTGTGGCATTACACAGCATGTATCTGGGACCCCACACACAAAATGAGTGGATGGAGGACACAGGGAGAGGAAGAACTGTTAAAGGCATCTCCAGAGGCTGTATTCCACAGTTCAGTTGCCCTAAATACGTACATTTCAATAATTAATTGATGTTTCATTTAGGTGATTCCATCTGTAATCTAAAGTGTGTTTGCACTAATGACTGAAGTTCTTTCATGACCTGGGTGACCCTTATTTCTGTTTCTAGAAGTTGGCAACCCTAGCCACCAGTGACTTTTAAGGTGGGATGTTTTTTTTTTTACATCCCAGTTGACACTGTGAATCACTCAACACACCTTAAATGTTAATGCAACAACTGAGACCACTCCAACAGCTTTTGCTCATTCTCTTGCAAGATGTAGCTTGGCTGATGACTGGCTCTTCACAGCCTTATAAAAATATTGGCTAATATCAGTGAGTATTCTTTCTCTTCATGCCAAAAAAGGCATCTCTCTGGTGTGCTCAGGCAGCACTACAACCATAGACCGGTTTATTTTACTGCTGCAATGTTTCTGTCCGTCCCTGGACACCATGTAATGTTACCCCCATGTGGGGCAAACATAGGCAGAAAGAATATATTTATTCCAAGATCAAGCGGATCAATGAATGAATTGAATGAATGAATTATCAAAGGTTTATCCCCCTCATTCCGATCAGGGCAGTCTGTTCCGATTGACGTTACATGAAGTATTTTTAAGCTGATTGTGCTAGTATTCCAAGTATTAGTGGACTGTTAGGGCCCATGTAAACGCAGCTATTGCTAGAGACGTTGCTCCATAGCTAGGAGATGACAGTAGGACTACATCTATTCAAGATGGGGTTCTGGAAAGGGAACTACATCTTTTTCCAAACCTTTCCACAATTTTTGTGCTATTCCAAAATGCACATCATTTCCAGACTTCAGGTCTCCCCGTCCTGTGTAGGAACCCTGACTGATGGTGGTGTTTAACTACGGGCACCTGTAAGCGCTGTTCCCACCAGAACAAATGATCAACAAGGCTGTTAGGAACAATTAAGTGTTGGTTCAAGGAATGGGCCCGCTAACCTCCCCCTCCCTTACTCTCTCTCTAGGTGGAGGATGCTCCGTGGTTGGGCATGTTGGCCATGCTGCCAACCATGCTCGCCGTGCCAGCCATACCTGAGGGCCCTCCCAGAGCCGGGGGGCTGTGCTTGGTAGGTGAGGTCATGTCGGCTCCACGCCCCTGGCCTTGGCCCTGGCCTTGGGGGGCGTGGTGGGCGTGCTGCAGGGCATGGCGCTCCAGCAAGGTGCGGTGGGTGAAGGCCCGGTGGCACACGTTGCACTGGAAGGTGCGCTCGGCACGGTGGGTGCGCATGTGGACATTGAGTGAGCTTTTCTGGGTGAAGCGCTTGCCGCACATGGAGCACTGGAAGGCCCTGACGCCGGTGTGCACCACCATGTGTTTGAGGAGGTAGTCGCGCAGGGAGAAGGAGCGCCAGCAGATGGAGCACTGATGAGGTTTCTGACCTGGATGGGCAGGTACGCACAGACACATGCTTCTCAATTACTCTCTTCCTTTTTCATGTGCAGGGTGATGTTGGGCAGAAACGCGGTGTTATTAATAAATACATAATTGACAAAAAGAAATAAAGAATATAACAAACACATAACAGGGTGAGGAGAGAATGTCTCACCGGAGTGGATGAACATGTGCTTGCTGTAGTTCTTCCTGGAACGTAAAGATTTGCCACAGTGCGTGCAGTCGAACGAGGTCTCGGATCCCTGGGAGGAAGGGGAGGGGCCTGCGGAACAGGAAGAGGCGGAGTGAGGTGGGGCTGGGGTCATCGGCGCCGGGGGTGGCTGCTGACTGGGCTCCGTCCCCGCCATGCTGTCAATCCCCCCCATGTGCCCGCCAACATAAAAGGGAGCTGGCTGCGACTGGCTCACTGGGTACTGGAACAGAAGCTGAGGAAACACAAGGTCAGCTGCAACATATTGTATAGATTCTAGTGAATTATTTATTCACTGTACTGTCAAATATTTGATCATTTTAATTAGCTGTCGAATATCTCTGACATGTCGTGTTGCTTAGCCAACTTCTCTCATGTTTTTTTGATCTCTTACAATATTACATCTCTACCTACAACGTATGAAAAGTACATTAATCATAAATATCTTACTTACATACTTACTTTCCAAGCTAAATTTTACCTCCTATGCTCTTCTACAACCTAATTTCAATTAAGGACATTTCTAAAAGCAGTTTATGATTCTAATCTGATTCTCCCTATCAAAAGGTAAACTGTGATTCACTGGTTGATTAGTTTTCAGTCTCCGTGCTTCCATTACTGATTAACCCTCATGTGTCTGCTCTACAAAAGGTCAAATGCCAATATAAGCCCTTTTTTGACACCTGTCAATCACACTGTGTTGGGAGGTGTTTGGGGAAAAGCCCATCACATTAAAACAAGCATTTATTTGGTTTTCTACTGTTATGTAGCACTGCATTAAATTCAGTTTTCAATCACCTCATTATCACAAAAACCAGAAGAAATCCAGCAGCTGTTTCTGCTAAATGCACCGCCCTTTAGAAAATATTCAGCCTTTGAATATAATTACCATATCTTGTTTTCCTAGCTTCATGTTTGACAGCAGAATTGTCATTCTAAGTAAAAACAAAAAACAAGTGAAATGCAATTAAACTGAATGCCGCGCTGCAATTGATTATTTTCCTTGTCAGTTATTCTGTTATGTTAATTGTTTACTTGACAAAATGTCAGGTGAAAATATCTATCACTCCCCTAATTGCCCTTCTTCTGTCTCTTCTGCTTTGTTTGTTTTTGTCATACTAACAGTCTAAAACCCAAAGAAAATAATCAATTACCAATAATGTCAAACACAGAAAGTAGCAGATTCTCACATCGGAGAAGCTACAACCAGCAAATGTTCTGTGTTTGTGCTCAATAATTTGAAATGACTGATTAATTGTAATAATGATTAAAGATCCCTCTCGGCTTTTTTAAGGTATATAAATGTAAACTGTTTGGAATGATGATCTGCATCTGGTATGGATTTCAGTTGCCTGGTTAAAAATTACACCTATCTGTCTAAACATGACTGTTTAAACATGGCTGGTTTAGAGAAACGTTCCCCCTTCAGCAGATGAATGTCATAAAAGTGTTCTAGTGTCTGCACAGCGGAGCTCAAACATCTAAGCAACAATAAGCAAAACACATTTTTGAGTGGAAAGGGACTTTAATTTTAGTAACTGTTGGTAAAAAAAAAAAAACTGTTCTTAGTTAATCAGTGAGCCTTAAAGTTCCAACACTAACAATATGCACTGCAGGTATTTTGGACAAGTCTACTGCAACAGTTCTGGTTTAACTCCACTCCCAGTGTGTAACAACATCTGTCACTGTAATCATGGCGTGTGATGTCAGCCACCGGCTGCACCGACCTGGTTGTTGATGGACTGTGTGGTTGGTGGCGGAGTCAGAGGCTTGTTGACCCTTCCTCTGGGGTTGAAGGCCATGGCCTGAGGAGGCTCGCTCTGGGGCCAGAAGCTCTCTGAAAACACCCCCTGCTCATCATAGAAATCCTGCAAGGCATGCAGACACACAGATAACACAACATTCACCACAGGTCTATGCGCATATCTCAGGTGAAAAATCTGACAGCTCCTGTCCGTGCCTCTGGTTTTAACTTCAGTTCAAGGCCTATTAAAAACAAACTAATCTGCACCCCCCAGAAACCCCTCCCTTTGTTAGGTCTCAGGTTCAGCTCCCCCAGTGACCTACATATACAGCGAGGAACCACCGAAGCTGCCTGCTGAATGCTTACCTGCTCCATAGGTGTAGTTCCTGCACGTCCCTGTGCACCAACTCCACCAGTGGAACCAAATGCATGAGATCACCTCAACAAATATGTACATATGTAAATGACTAAATCCCTAACCACACAGTTTAATGCTTCACTGTCTCCCTTCATGTAAAGACTACGTGCATTTACATACTTCCTTGCATGTGTGCGGACGTTGGAAAGACAAACTCGTGGTGTGGCCCAACGGGTCGAGCTACATTTCTGTCAAAACAACAGCACAATCGAAGGTACGCTTTGATGTACAGCTGGGAAGCAAACTGACAATGAGGACACGAGTCTAACGTGCATCACTGGGGTGACAGTGGTGCAGTGGGTAGAGCAGTCGTCTCCCAACCAGAAGATGGAAGGTTTGAATCTCGGTGCCTGCAGTCCACGTGTCAAAGTGTCCTTGGGCAAGACACTGAAACCCCCAAGTTTCCCGTGATGGGAGTGCATAGACACGCGGCGGCCCTAGGCACTTGGCTCCAAACAAAATTTCGTTGTATGTGTCACAATAAAATGAAACTTCTTCTTCTTCATCAGATGCATTTTTTTACATATGGGTTTATTAATTTTTTGCTTTCCTCATCTGGTTAGAGAGAGCGGTGGAGAGTGAAACAGCTCACACTCAGAGCTGGAGCGTGATCGGTCATTACAGATGCAGGAGAAAGTTCACAGCACAAAAATAACAGAGGCCTTGTGTGATTTAAACCTCTGTCTGTGGAGATTACACTTAATTAAACTCAACAGAGAGAAGAAACAGACTCAAAGCATAAAAAAAAACATGTAGGGGTTTGCGATATATTTAATCTACGAGAATATCTTAACTGCTGTTTAAACAATGTGCGAGCTGCTATTAATGAGTAGATCACTCACTCTACAAAAACACACCTTGACAGTCCATACATCCACTGCCTCATGAAGCCAAGTAGGACAGGCTACTGTACATGTGCATTAAGAGTGCACGCAGTGTGTACAGCACATGGTCATGCACCACAAGTTAAACTAGCGTAGCTGCCTAAAGACACATTAGCAAAGTTAAAAATGAGTGAACCAGCAGCGCCAGGAGACAAAACGCCGACACCACCAGCTCCGCAATTTACGTTTCTGATTGCTAGACATGGTTCATCCTCACTCGCACCGAGAGATTTTGGCTTTGAAAAAGATGAATTTTGCTCCAAAGACGGACTAAGAAACAATGCTGGAAACCGGCTGCTGTAAAGACAATTCAACAGCTTGTTCCACCATCTGACAACGAACCACCACACAGCTGTCCACGACACGACTAAACCAGCACAGAAACACACACCAAACTTTAGCAGTCTGCAAAAGTAACTTCAGTGTTTGTGTACCGTTTAATTTAATGCTTCAGTCTTAAGTAAATATATAACCCATTTTTCTTAAATAGGCCTTTGTTGTTTCCATTAATATCACTGGTAAGAAGTAGGAGAACCTTGTACAGTATAAGATTTAAATATATTTCTGAAGGATGCAACATATCATCTGCTTTACAAAATGATTCTTTTGTTGCATATGAGTGAATAAAAATATAACTGTGTGAAACAGGGACATAAAATCGTTTGCTCTCGATCGCAGGCCCCTGAATCAAATCAAAATCACATCATATGATGGTGAAACTGGTGATTTACACCCTTAGTCATCCTGGTGAACACAGTTTGTTCGACTGCTGTCCTCATCAGGAGCTGGCGACAGACAGACAGCTGTTGTGATGACAGAGACAGTGAACAGAAGTCACAGTCTGTGTGGACTGAGCAGAGTGAAGGCCTCAGTAGCACTTCAGTTTTAATTTTGGTTTTATGTACAGACATAATGTCTGATTTGGAGCTGTACATGCAGCTCAGGTCTCAGTTTTAATGTGAAGACTCAGTAAGAAACCATTCTGCACTAAAACAGAATATTATATTATTTCGAGCAGTGTTGCTTTTCTTTGCATAAAAACCTTAACTCCTTCCTATACCGAGTGGATAATACTGTTCCCACTTATAACTTAGTCTGCAGCACTTCTCAGAAAGCTGACAGGCAAAGCTGAATCCTTTTGGCTGTGTGGCAGATGTTCCTTGTGTAGTCTGCAGGGTACAGCAGGCTGCGGCATGAATCCGCTCCACCATGTCGTTCCCTCTAGTTAGCTACTTCAGGACTTGTGAGAGAAACACTGAGCATAATTTTAACACAATATAGTGATTCTAAAAGTTTCCTTCAGAAGTAAAACATGAAAAAATTCACCAAAATACTACCTAGAAATCAAGGCTCCACCTGTAATCTGCAGGATGTTGCCCTTCTCTATGCCGTGGTTGATAAATTATTAAACATTAAGTAAAAGTGAGCTTTACATCTCGACTATAGTTTTACATTTTACAAACTGTTTCTTTTTCATCTGGTCTTTTATATTGGCTCTCACAGCAGCAGCTCAGCTCAGCTCACCTGTCCAAAGCCTGCCATAGATTCCTGGGCGCCCCCCTGCTCTCCGTCTCGTCTTCCATCCTCCAAGGCATAGACAGTCCCATCTGTGTCCTGAACGCCTTCATCTTTCACCACTGCGCCCTCTCCTCCCAGCACCTACAGAGAAAAATATCCATTTCAACTCTGAGAGGTAGAAAAATTACCTTTACAACAGTAGTAGGAGCTAAAAGACTGCAGATAATCTATAGGAATAACAGCGCATTGACCTGGCTACAGCCCCTTCAAGCAGGTACTAATAGCTTTAATCACCTACAGTAAACATGCAGAAGTCCATAGAATATCACCAAGGCAATTACTGCTGAAGTTAAGATAAGAGCCTCTCTTCAACTGTGCAAAGTGCAGAAACATCTCAGCAATATACGCCAATGCAGTGTGAGAAGAGGGAAAAGCAGAAAAAGAAAGAAAAGCAAACGTTGCAGCTCTGCATGCCTGAAAACTGTAACCATGGCAACCCTTCCCCTTATCCCCCTACCTGGAGTCTTAGCGGCTGCCTCTGCTTGCGGCTGTGACTCGCCACCCTGTCTCTGTCTCCGTCTCTTCCCCGCTCTCTCCCGTCCAAGTCTTCCTCCTCGCTGTATCTGTCCATCCCCACCAGGTCATCAGAGAGGTCAGCTGCGTTGCCGCGGAGACTGTCCCTGCCAATGCTGTCCACACTGCCCACGCTGGAGTTGCAGCCTGCTGAGAGGTTCCCTGTGCTACTAGTGCTGGCTCCGCCGGCCGACTGTGCCAACAGGTCTCGGAGCTTGTACCTGACATCCTGAGTACAGCTGGAGCTCTGCTTCATGAGGATTGTGCCGGCCCCAGACCCCAACCCGTCACTGCCGCACATAGAGCCGGGGCCCATGTCGCCCAGTGCCATCAGACTTACTGTGTTAGCTTGCTCCATTGGGCCTGGGCCGCTCTCACTGACACTAACGCTAGAACCCCCCAAGCCCCCGCCCATGTTACTAGCTCCGCATTCAGCCATGAAGTTAGAGAAGTTTCCATAACTCCCACCCCCACTTGTGCCACTAACAGAACAACTTCCACTAGCGCCACTCTCTCTCCCTTTTCCACCACCATGCTCTTCTTGTTGCCTTCCTTTGAGAGATTATCTGGGTGCACTCATCAATGACGGTCTTGATCTGCAGAATGCTGGCAGCAGTGAGGATGCAGAGGGCCTGCGACTGCAGCACCACCAATGAGCCGCTGTACATGAAATCCACAAGCTGCTTCACTGTTTCAGCGGGCACCAGCGGCGGCACAGAGATTTCAGAGTGGCCCAGTAGCAGCTTGTCCTGAAAGAAGGGGCTGCCAGCTGCCAGGACGCAGGCATGGGCGCGTAGTGAGGCATCATGTATCCTCACGGTCACGTCGCAGAAGAGGCCCTCGCGCCGCTGAGTGCGCAGAGCTTCCAGCACCGACTGGCTGGAGTTGTGAAGGTGGATGTAGTGCACGGTCTCTGTGCCGGACATCATTGCGGGAGGGGGTGAGTCGCTGGGGACAGGATGGGAGTGAGGATGGGGGAGGGGGGGTAAGTGTCTCGGGTTTTGCGTCAGCTTGAGGGATAAGGAGGACAGGGAGGGAAAGGGTCCAGTGCATGGGCCACGGTGGGGCCACGTCCCTTCAAACAGTCATGAGTCTGATGGAAGCGTTCAAACTGCGGCTCTGCTGTGGTTTCAGTGTGTGAGGAGCTGCCTGTGTTGTCCTGAGAGGGAGACCGTGGGAGGTGGTTTCCACCAGCTTCAGCGTTTCTGCTAAAAACCTGCTGGAATATATTTGTATATATAAAGTTGTATTAATGTCTACATTAGTGCTGAAGTTATTAGCTTAGCAATCAATTAGTCTACCTAAATAATTTTGATGGTTCATTCATCGTTTATGAAGTAAAACTGAGTAGCATTCCCCAATTCCTGCTTCTCAAATGTAAGAATTTGCTGCTTTTCTTTGTTTTGAATGACAATAAACTGAAGATCTTTGGTTTGGGGACTGTTGGTCACACTAAACATGTGAAGTGTCACCTTGGGAGCTGGGGAATTTTGAAGGGCGTTTTCCACCATTTTTGGGCATTTTGTAGCCTGGATAATTTGGTAATTGGTCGAATAAACAATAATCAACACATTATAATTTGATAATGCTAACAAACATTAGTTGCAGCACGGTTTTACATTTTGATCAGTGGTTTGTTTTATTTTCAAGCCGAATCACGCAGCTGTGGCTGAACGTGACAGCGGCGACCAGTCGATAATCAATCCTCAAATCAATGGCGTGCAGCATCTGAAACACCTGTCTCGGACAAATGACAGCACGTGTCGTGCACGAGTCCAGTAGCTCCTCGGGTCAGTTTATTTGGCTATTCTGCACTGCGCAGCGGGTGGCCAGTAACGCAGCGCCAAAGATAATCTGACTGCTGCTCGTGTTAAACAGACGCATTAAGAGTCGAAGCTGAAAATGAAAACAACTCGTTAACTAAAAATGTAGCTCCTATTAAACAGGTTACTGACCAGACAACGTTAGCTCCAGCAACAAGGGAACAGGTTTAACGATGACGAGCTAGCGTTAGCTATTGACATTAGCCGCTCGACTCCTGCACGGAAATATGCGCTAAGTGCATAAATTTATACATGCAAACCGAGATTCACCATCGTCTGAAATACAAACGCAAACTATTAAATGTCGAATGGCAGCTGGCAACGTTTTTACCCTAACATAAAAGTAGCTATCGGTGTTCATCCCCCACGCTCCACTACAGTGCTAACCTAGCTAGATAACTAGCTAGCTAGCGCAAACTGCCAAAGACAAAACTAGTGAAGTTAGCATACCAGCTAACGGGCCCTAACCACCCTTTTCTGTACACCGCGTGTTAACGTTCCACTCGGGTAGTGAACTGTTTGTGTTAGTGCATGTTGTTTAGTCGTGTCTAACGTTACATACCTGCAACGGGCAGTGACAGTTCGGGCGCTTGTTAGTTTCAGGCAGATGGATGCAGCAGGAAGCCCTCGGTATAACGCACTCAACCTGGTGAGCGCAAACACAGACACACACACTCAGACTCAGACTCACACAGACATAGCAGGGATAGGCACAGAACGGGATGTGGAGTTTCTCCTGTTTTACTCCAACTAAACCACCCACAACCTGGTCAAGTACAGAGTACAACTCTCATAATGCAGACAGGTGCACACTCTTTAGTATGTAAGTTAAATACCTGCCCCACACACACGCACAGCCGCATAACACACACACGTATAGTAGTTCTCTATTAGACAGGAAGGCATGCAGACACACTTGAATACACCCACGCATGCACGACTGAAAAATACCCGTAAAATGATTATTCCCACAAACTAACATGTAGGTTGTTGTGTGAAGTGTATAAATGTGATTAAAATGTGTGTTACTGGGGGAGTTGGCCCATGGCATCAGCCTAAAGGAGGGTATGCATAAAACATTAGCCTTGGATAAGTTGAACAGCAGCAAGAGTGTAATATTAAAACACTTTGTTTACATAGCTGTGGGTTTGCAGATGATCAGTAATCCACTGAAATGTGCCTAAAGCCAACACACAGGGTATGTACATGTGTTTATACAGTGAGTCCTCTCTGTGCTGTCGCCTTGTTCCCGGTTGGTAAACTTCAGTTGGCGGTGCAGCAGGTCTGGTGACCTCTGCACAGCCAGATTCCTGGACCGGCTTCTCAAGAATCAAAACTGAAAGTGAGTATAATACTGCACTGACAAGAAAGGTGTGTTATTAATTTCATAGAATGGAAAGGAGGCTTTGTGCCATCCTTTAAAATAAATAGGACCTCATTTCCTAGGAAGACAGCCGGTGTCACTGCACAAAGAAAAATAGAAAATTGGTTGTATTAAATATTTGTCTTAAATACTCCTCCACCATAAAAGAAATGCAGGCGCGTGCTGTCAGATCTTTAGCCTGTATTGGTATTAATGCTGAACTAGAGCATACATGGCCACTAAAGCTTCATCTGAAGCTTAATGTCTCTGTATCAGGTAAGTGCCTCATGTTCTGTATGTAACATGTCTGCCCATTGTAGAGGTCCCTGTCTGCTATCACAGCTTTAGGCATGACTCTGCTTGATAGTTTTAAGAAAGAGACACAGAAGTTTTACTCCACAACAAAATATAATTTAATGAATTAACTTTTCACTGTGTTGATCACAAATCGATAGAGATGTAAAAAACAAAAAAACAAATCTAAATGAATGCAGTATGGTTGTTTGTCCTAATGTAAGGCATGCAGTCTCTAAAGAGCTTTGGACATTGAAAGCTACAGGTCGTTGCAGCAGGACACACAGACACTCAGCCACAGATGCACACAAAGCGCTCATATTATCCACTCTCTTCTCTGGGGCTTAATAAATATTTATTCTTTGCACAGACAGTGAAGTGGGTTTCATCACAACACCAAAATAATAGTAGTTCACAAATAGCAAGAGGATATGCTAACCGCTAACACTTTGGCTGGGGGCGTTTCTACCTTGTCAGCTCTAAAGGATGAAATGGGATGATGCTGCCAGAATACTTTAATATATGTTACAATGACAAATACACAAAAAGGGGCTTAGTAGTTTAGCACATTGTGTGAGCATGTTGCACGTGAAATCAGGATGATGGTAACAGCCGTGACTCTTGCATTCAACCTTTTGCAGCAAGCCCTTTGGGAACGGGTGGAGCCTGTAAAAAGGAGCTTCTTCATTTAGCGACAGATGTCCTTCATTTGGAAGTTGCACTGAAACGGTCATATAAAAAGTGCAGATGTTTCTGGTGTCTGTGGTGCAAAATCCTAATAAGCTCCACGATTCAAAGAGGCCTCAGCTATATAAATACAGTGATATACCTGCCTCTATATAAAAACTAAAATCAGCAACACCTAAGCAGTTTAGAACTATTGGATTATTGACAAGCCATCGAGGAAAATATACAAACATGGAAACAATAAAACCCTCTGGTACAGTATAAATAAATATGTAGGTGTTCAGTTTTAATTCCCTATGTAAATAGCATGTCTCTCTGGCTGTGGGGGGGGACCAGCTGCCGATGGGAGATGGAGTCGGGTTGTCACGGTGGAGCAACAGGTAGTTCTTGAGGACGGACAGGTTGGAGCTACTCAGTGCTGCTGCGCGTCCAGCTCCCTCTGACGGCAGCCCACGGCAGTGATGAGGGCAGCCCCCTTCCCGCTGCCGTCCTCGGAGAGCAGGAAGGTGACGTCACATTTGGGGGCAAGTTCCTTCACTGTCAGCTGGAAGATCCTACAGAAGCTGTGGGAAGAGGGCAACAGGAAACTGTGGTTAGAAATACTGAAATAAAAACAGCCAACTGCAGTCACTCCAGCTTTACAACCAGGATGAGCAGCAAGGTCATTCAGGGCTTGTTTCAGGAAGAGAGATCCTGAGATTGTCTGGATAACTGAAGCTACAGTAGTCTAGCTAATCTGGTAGCCTGTCTTAATGAGACGGTCCACTGGTAATCAGAACCTTGCAGCACTATTCATTACAGGTGCATGCAATTCAGAGTGCTTTACAAAGGCAGAATAAAAGAATGTTAAAAATTAAATTTACACAAAAAATGAGACTAATGCACAGCAGTTTAAAAATATATACAGTAGCCCCTTGACTTGGAATTGAGCTAAGACCTGAGCTGTTAGCTGATTTTGCCAAAAAGAGCTTGACCAAATTCAGAGCTTAGAGGTTTTGGTCCAATGAAAAGTGGCAAATCCCTCAAGGATGGGATCACAGATGGTGAGATAGCAGACTAAATGGGCTACTGGAATCATGTGCAGAATGTTAAGTATGTTTAGATTCAGTAGATGAAAAGCCTGTGTGTTTGCTAACTCTTGGCCCCTTGTGAATGTTAACACAAATTATAAACATGTTTGTTACTAGGTTTATATTTTGAGAGCCTACCAAAGTACAGTTTAGTTTTTCTGTCCTTTTGGATGGTGGTGTACCGTAGCTTTCCAGAAATAAAAGAAGCTTGGCATTGAAATCCAGAAACCAAAAATGCATCTGTGATGAAACAGCTTAGTGTGTCTTAGGGCGTGGATCAGGCTGCATTTCTCTCTGAACACAATCCAGACCAGATAAGCTTGTACTGTATAACGTCCAAGCTCGATACAGTTTGTACGCTGTTTTCCCCCCAATCATTAAACAGAAGCAGATATTTGAGAGCGCCAGCCGTCTAGCCTAAAGTTTGACCTACATGTCTGAACCCAACCGGGACCTGGCCTGAACCCTCAGGTACAGATGGGTCTCATCGGGTTCGGTCCGGGTATTCATGCTCTCGTGTGTCTGTGTCAGCTTGAACTGATGTAGTAATGGAAGTATAAGTAATTTACCATTAGTCATTGAAATCAGGTGTCTGAGCTTGTTTACGTCAGACTTAACCCCCTCTTCTACTTCTGCCAGGATAATAATGCAGTCGTCTTTAGTGCTGATCATTTCCTTTACTGACTTTTCAGATGTTTTCTCGGTTTAATCGTTTTTACCGTGTTATTCATTTAGCTGGTTTTGTCCAGTTTGGTGTCCAAATCCCAAAGATGTTTCATTTATGATATAATACAGAGAAAAGCAGCAAACCTCACATTTGGTTTCTGTCAGCTGATTAGTCACTTCAGCATTATCCATGGCCACCGAGGTTTTTAACTACGTTTGCAGATCCTCAGTTTTTAAACACCTCCATTTGCTGATGTAGATTTTTTTTTTTTTTGTGTGTGCAAAAACAAATTAAAAGAATGATTCAAAATGAATGAACCCACTTTTCTGGAGTGATTGGTTTAATAAAATTAAAAGGCTATGTCTCTTGAAGCATGATGAACATGTGCTGCGGTGTTTGTGAATGAATGATCCTCTTTTCAGCCCAAACACGCCCTCCATTGTGTTCCTATCCTGCAACTTACTGTGGGTGCAACTTGTAGAGTGTGCCATCCACGCCCACGGTAATGTCCAGGTGGTCCAGTCCTCTGTTCTCACGGATCTTGTCCACCACAGCAGCCATTCCGGCTCCGCAGATCTGAGCCGCACGGCGGGACACCGTGCCACACACTTCCTTCACGATAATACTGTCATCACAGGTGCTGTCGAGCCCCAGCTGCTGCAGAATCGCCCTGACTTGCAGCAGCGCCAGACGATCACTGTGGAGCCAGAGAGGCGGGGGAAGAGCGCGTGTCAGAGGTCAGCCAACAGCAGGAGAGTCACCGGATACCACACAGCTGTTCCCAGAGGCTAACGTAGGCTTAGATGGTGTATGGACTGGAGTTGTCACATTGTGTCCCCATGTCCTCTTACTCCTAGGTGTGTTGTCCCAGTAGATAGATGCTTAAGCAGTGCTTTCAGGCAGTTACTCTAAATCATCCCAGTGGTTTAGGATTTTTTTTTTAGCCACTGTTAAACATATTTTACAGGCTCTTTCTTGGGCTGAAGGTTTTTTCTCTACACTACTTTTGAGGCAGCTGTGAGTTTCCATTCATTTCACATCATATGAAAAACAACCTAACAGTCAATACTACTTTGTCTGTGTTTGGACCAATGGTTGGGGAACTGATGTGACCTAGAGCTACTGCAACAGAAACTAGTGAATCACCAGCAGTAGAAGAGAAATGGATTCACTCACCTCTCTATCTGCGAAAGGAACTTTGTCTCAAAGATGCCCCTGGTCTTCAGCGTCTCTGAGATTTGTCCCCGAAATAGGTAGCCACGCTTGGTCAGATCGATCAAAATCTGCCTGACGATCTCTCCCAGGTACATGCCGCTGCACATCTTCTCATATCTGTCATGCAAGAGATGGCAAAGCTTTCATTAAAGAAATTCTATCAGTAATGAACTGATGATGCAGCTTTTGATGAGCTTGTAAAGATTGCTTTTGTTTGGTTTTTGTTTTCTATGTGATCCAGATTCATATCATATGAAAGTAACAAGGGCTGAAGTGTTTGACTTGGACAGTAGGTCGCCATCAGAGGTAATCAAACCTTTGTTTGCCTTCGTTGAGCGAGTTCTCGTCCACCGCCTGGTCGTACTTTGTCCTGATGTCATCCAGACAGCCGTTGTCTCCAAAGGCCCCCCACTCCATGTTGACACACATGCGGCCCTCGTTTTCCTCCACTATCTCAATGTTCCTCATCTCCTCCATGTAGCAGGCGTTGCTTCCCGTCCCTGAGAGACACAGCTCAATAACCTGAGCCACACCTCACACCTTTCAAAGGCTGTATGTCTTTAAACATACAATTCCAAGACATTTCTAAGTGTAGACTTGTGTTTCTTGGTGCTGTAGACTAGCACTGAACAGTATAAAGAAATTATAGGAGGGTATTTATAACAAAGTGGGTGTACTTTACACATTCCCCTTCCAAATATCTGCCAGATACTGTCACCTGAAACTTTCCACAATAATTGTATGTTTAATTTATCCTTGAAATCATTTCCTGTTGAAGGCAGAGGTGTTTAACTCACCTGCAATCAGGCCAACCTCACAGGTGGGTTCCTCATATGCACAGGTCATCATTGTTCCAACTGTGTCGTTCACTATGGCAACCACATCCAGCTCAAACTCCTACAAACACACAAACAAACAGCACAAGGCAAATTAGTCTCAGGACGAAATGTGATGAAATCACCTATACACTGTCAACGAGAACTTGTATACGCAAATCTCACCTTTCAGGACTCATGCCATTTGCTATAGCCCCATAAATCAATGCGCTGAATAGACTGCTCAGTGCCTCTCTAATTCAAATAATCATCATCCTGAATGGTTTTAAATCATGTTACCTGCTAAAGTGCTGCAGCAAGCTTACGGTTTCTCTACAGGGCACAAACATACTGTACTTACCAAAGCTAAATTCTTATCAGAGTTGTTCTTAATGCATAAGATTACTGATGTTTCCAGGTTGTCACTTGACATTAACCTCTAGAGTCCCTGCGTCCTCATATGAGGACCGCACAGCTTGGGTTTCCAAAGCTCAGGACTCTAGAGGTTAAAGCAATGTCAGGTGTGTTGACAGAGGGATTAATATCAGTTCTTGTAATGCCACACAGCACACTGCAGTTAACACATACGTATTCCTAGAGAGACTACAATAAAATACACACGCTGTTTTGGAAAGCTGCAAAGTTCAGAAGCTCTGCCAAGCGCACAAAATACAAAAGATCATTCCTGTCATCACTGATAATTGAGTTTAACTAGGCGCTCACACGAAAGACACACTCCTCCCTAGTGTCTGAAAGCAGGTTTTCCAGGTATTAAGGCATGCGATTACACCAATAGCAACACACACTGCTCCAGTCCTGCACTGCTTTACCTGTCGGTTAATGATTTACTTTCACTTAATACTTACTGCATTCTCCATCTAAAAGAGTGAAATCAATGTAAGAATCTCAAGAATGGTGACACATAAATAAACAAAACTGTCTGGGTATAAAAATCATACAGTATTAACATGTTTATTTATAATGAACAGTGGTGGAAGAGCTGCTCAGAGCCTTAAGTAAACGTGGCAGTAAAAACCCTCATAAGTAAAAGCCCTGCATTCAAAATGTTAAGTAAAAGTACAAAGGTATACTTAAATTACTAAAAGTAAAAGTACTCATTCACATTCCTCTATCATTGTAATTACTGATGCATCACGTTTAATGTTGCAGCTGGTAAAGCTAGTTGTACTAGTTTGTTTGTATTTGATTTGAATTACTGTTGGGTAGCTTGTTAGTTTTCCACCACGGAAAATGAAAATACTCAAGTACAGATACCTCAACATTGTACTGAAGTACAGTACTTGAGATGTACTTGGTTACTTTCCACCACTGACAACGAGTGATTGGCCGGCCGTAATTTCTGTGCAGGCAAAGGTGTTGCTACATTGTAGGTTGACTAGCACAACTTCTGTTGCATTAGTACCCATTAAATTTTGAGATGTGGTTTGTTAGAGGGTTTATTCTGCACCTCCACATTCTTTCCTTTTCTCTGCCGTGATTCGGTGCAGGAAACATATTCATTCCAAAATAAAACAGTAGTTGTATCCATTAGAAACACAGACAAAACATGTAAGACAGTCACTTAACATGTAAAAACACGACTACAGAGACCGGTTAAACAGCATTTATCAGCTATTAAACAGATCAGTCAGTCAGACCTTTAGTACGAGAGTTTTACAAGCAGTACGAGACGACAATCTGAGCCACAAAGAGACCAGACAGTGCCCACATGATACCAAGTGCTTTGGTCCAAAAGAGCCTATATGACGTCTTTTAAGTTCTTCAAACAAACTGTATAGGTGCACAATAAAAGCAGCCGTCAGTTATTTTGAATCAAAATGAGAATGACTGATATACAATGCAGTACAGGACATAGGATATACTGTAGATGGTTGACAGAATACTGCATTAATTTAAAGTTATTTTAATGACGTTTCTACACTGAGCAACCTCTGGCTAAATTATACTTTTAAAAACACATTTTTGTATCTCAGCAGCTATAATTTTCTCACTGTGGCAACACAAGTGTTGTGCGTTTAAAAACAACAAAGAAACTGCATCTGTGTCGATGTCAGTGTTTTTGCATGATGTGGTTGAATCACATGTAGTGTTTCTTATCTCCAGTTACCTCTTTCCTCTTAATTGCTTCCCGAAGAAGCTCCACCACATCTTCGCCCTCACAGTCTGTAGCCTTGAAGCCTTTGGTCCAGGTTACCAGAATACCCTGCAGAGCACATGACACTTACTGGGAAATGGCTGATAAACACTGTCAAAATAAATTGTTTGGATAGTTCCACACTCTATAGCAGTCTGAAAAGTTCAGAGCAGCCGTCTGACTAAATGGTCAACTGTTGACACCCTAAACAGGAAGCGTATAATGTACACAGTGACAGATGATTGATAGAAATGTGTCCTTAGGTTTAGTCTGTACAAAATTGGAGTTCTGACTTTTTTTCTCAGAATTTAAAGAGTTTAAAGTCAGAATTCTGAGTCAGTCATGGGTTTTGTTCAGTGGCCCTAATCCTAATCCATAAAATCCATGGGCCAGCAGAAGTAGTACTGTTCTTTAAACTTGAGATAGTTTAGTTACTTGAACTTATTGCCACCCTGATGTGTCTTATAAGCTCCACTTGCACTGGTTTGTAAGGGCCCATGTGTGATTCTTTTAACTTCCTTTTTAAATGAAAGAATGATATTTTGTAGAGAACCTACTGCGTCCAGGCTGGTCTGATAGCAGGGGAAGGAGAAGGTGAAACCAAGTGGCAGCCGAGCGCTTTTCATCCCCATGTAGTCCAGGAAGTCAGAGATGCAGTGTACAATGTGGTCAAAGAGCTGCAGAAAGATGGGGGTTAGTTGTTAGGACACTGGAGAGATAAGGTTAGGTACTATTGGTGTATTTTCTGTGGTGAGATAAAAAACAACCCTCCATGTAAACACTCATATGGGTTTACATCGGTTGCTAATGAGAGAAGACTTCTGTTCAAAAGCAGTGGAAAGTATTTCCAAATAAGTGTCATCCCCATTACCTCTTCGCCTGTGCCTGTCATAGCTTCTATGGGAATCGCGTAGATTTTGTTGTGCATCTCCACTGATCGCCTCTTCCCGCTGCGAATCTTTACAAGGAGCACACGGAAGTTTGTCCCGCCAAGGTCCAGAGCAAGGAAATCGCCGTTCTCTATATTAGAAGAAGCGTCTTGTTAGCCTGAAAGCCCACAGAACTTCATCCTTCATCACCAAATAAGTTTCCTTCCTTGGCATTGATTTTATTTTAGGATAAATACTGAAATATATGTTTCAATAATACAGTTTGAACTCACAGACGTCTACACAAGCTCTGTACTGGGTCCATTCCTTCCACCTGTTAGTGCATCTCTTTTTTTTACTCACCAGTTCCATCTGGTGTACTGCGGACAAAGGTGGGCAACATCTTAACTGTAGCTTCCTTGTGAGTACTCTTCTTGAGGCCTCTTTCAATTTCCACCCTCATTCGCTTCTTCACCTCCAACAACTGGGCTTTGGTCAGTCGGAACTCAGCCAGAGTCTGCTGAATGTGTCGCGCCTGCTCCGTCAGACGGTAGGCCACTGCTGTCACCATGGCTGCGCCTTTCGCACTCCCGCTCTCGGACAGGAGGAAGCGGACATCGGAGTCTGGGACCAAGCGACGGACTGTCTTGTGCAGACGCCGAGCGTATCTGAGAGCAGAAGACGTCATGATGAGGGAGGCTTGGGTTTAACAAAATCCAAAATGTTTAAGGGTCATGACGTCATTTTGGGAAGGATGCTATGATACTATTACTTTTAACTGTTCACTATTTACTGTTACACTATTGAACGTGAACTCCAGCGCTTGACTGAATAGGGCTGGGAGATGTGGCTGAAATCACAATCTCGATGTTGGTCTAGTGTTTTGTTTTTATTTTATCATGACATGGTAAATCAGTCATTTCATTGTTACATATTACAATATACCAAATTGCTTGTATCACAAAGCTTTAACAAATCTTAGCTGCAGCTTTGTGGAAGTCTGAAACTAAATGTCTGGTGTGCAGCCTCCATAATCCTTAGAGAATCTAATTTGTAGGATTTGTTTTGGCTGGCGGCTACCTGTGGTGATCCCTGAGCACTGTAGTTGTCATCTCATCTTGGTTTGTTGGTTTTCTGGGGAAACGTAAAGGCAAACATGAAGACACCAAACCCTCCATCCGGTTCCTTTTGTTCGGGGTACTTACTGAGGGTGCATCTTGTAGAGAGACCCGTCGATGCCCACGGTGGTGCGGAGGCGTGCGACTCCTTTGTTGTCCTTGAGCCGAGAGAGGATAGCTCCCAGGGTTGCAGAAATTAGATTTGCTGAGCGGAAGGAAACGATGGTGCACACGTGCTGCACTGCCAGACAGTCTTCCTCTGAAGGCTCCACCCCGAGCCTCGTCAGGATTTCCATACATTTCTTCACCCCTTCCTTCGTCCTAAAGTTAAGAGTTTTTATTAGTATTAATATTTCATCTATGCTATTCCTGAAAGCACTGAACCTGGAGATTTTTAGACTTGAACGTTTACATAATTTGGTATGTGTATAGACATTCAAGACATTCAATTCCTATGAAAAAATGTTCTGCAAACCGGGTTAAGGCCGTGCACAGTAGCCTATATAATACCAGTTTTATTCTCCTGGTTGTTACCTAAGTAATTTAGTTCAGCCATTCTCTTCACTCACTTTTCAATAGCAGAGACATGTTTTGTCTCAATCTTTCCTTTCGTCAGGAGCTCGGGGGTTATCCGTCCCTCAAACAGCAGACCCTCTTTGGCCATCTTGACCAGGATGAGCCGAACCAGCTCCCCCATGTACATCCCACTGGCCATCTTCTCAAACCTGAGCAGAGACGACACAGCGACATCTTTAGATGAGGTGTCATAAATACAGTTTGCATTAGTCACGTTTCCCTCGATGGCCCACATTAGAATGAACATGATTCTGGGCAGATGCAGTCTGGAAGGCCTAGAGTCTCTATTCCTCAATATATATGACATTATAGTCAGACTGCAGGAACAAAATGGATCCTTTCTGAAAAATGATGATGGGCATTGGATCCCCAGGAACTCAAGCTAATGCTTGGTTGGCAGTTTATTAGGTACACCTGGTTGAAACTGATGCAGTCTGATATGACAGTAATAATAAATCCTCTTTTGTGATGATGATGGTCACGTTTTGTAGAAATGCCAATTCACCTGTAGCATTTAGCTTGGTGTACCTAGTAAACTGTCAGCTGAGAGTTTTTATTTTTCTACCACAAAGGGGCTTTACAGTTTCTGTAGCATACGACACCCTCTGTCCTTGTGTTGGATCAGAAAAATAAAAAAAAAAACAATAAGAAAAAAATAAAAATCTCCCTCCAAGCAGTTTTAACAGGGGCGAAAAGGCAGGAATGTCAGAAAGCGACAGAGGAGGAATCCATCTTGTAGGACAAATACACATGCAAGAGATGTCATGTGCATGGAATAAATCAACAGATTTACAGTGTGACTAGTCAGAATGGATGAATGAACATATAAACATATGAGGAGCATGGTCCTGGAGAACACCAACTTCCAGGAGCCTGCAGTAGACCACATGACCTCCCTCTAGATGAAGACCTATTAGGAGGATGGGCTACACGGCCACACCAGAGGCAAAAGTCAAGCACATCAGTGACACATATAGTGGTAGTTAAAATGCCTAAACTGATATGGCTACATAAATAAAACAAGGTCTGTCCTGTAGATGCATTTTGAAAAAATACTGTATTACTTTCACAAGAACCAGAGGGTTAAAGGAAAATCTCACAGCTGCTTTCCTGGATTGACAGAACCCCTGTCGATCTCACGGTCAAACTCTGTGCGAATGTCCTCCAGGGACCCATCATCCCCAAAGGCACCCCACTCAGTGTTGATGCACATCCGGCCTTCGTCTCCTTCCACCAGGTCAATGTGACGCAGTTCCTCCATGTAGCAGGCATTTGTTCCTGTTCCTGAAAGGACGCAGAGATGTATGAGCCCTATCCTACATGGCTTTGGCTTAGTGGAGCTCATAATGCAGGGTTAGGGTTACACTATCTTTGGCGCCCCCACGTGGTACTGTAAGGCCTTGGATGTCCAATGCATGTTCACTTATTCTGCTTTTTACCCAAATGAAAGTGCTCTGATCAGGCGTTACAACGCCATGTCGGGGACTTTTATGAGCACAGAACCATTTGTACTGTAGGTCTTTACCTATAATGATGCCCACTTCACAGCGCTGATCATCAAATCCACAGGTCATCATGGTGCCGACCGTGTCATTCACCACTGCCATGATGTCTGCCTCGTAGTCCTGAAACAAAGGTTATATTTAACTCAAAATCTAAAATTACAGCCCCTGGTTAAAGCTCCAAGATCTGACTTTGGTCCATTTTACCACTATTCTGTCAGTGTGGATGGTATATTTTTAAAGTGCACATGTACTTACTGCACAGAGAAGTTTCACCTATGCAAATTAACTACATAAATAAAAAGGGGGAAAAACTCACCCCTCGTTTCTTGATGGCCTTGTTCAGAAGCTTCACAACATCCATGCCTTCCACGCCACTGGCTTTAAACCTCTTTGTCCATGTCAGTAAGACTGCCTGTAAAACGAGCAGTTTTAAGTTAGACCGGTTTGCAAAGTCCAAAACGTAGGTCCATTGCTATTCTAACCAGTCTCCAAATAACACATTCATCAGCAGTTCCTCCAAAAGACTAACAACTACACTACGCTTACCTTACGTAAAGAAAGACTTCTGTGAAAATATCTTTCTAAAATCTCCTAAAAACATCCTAATGACTCACAATGGCTTCTAGAAGTTCTGGCCATCATAATGCACTTTCCTGTGGCAGACTGACATCTGATATAGGAGGCCATAACTCAGAATCTGACACATAAAAAGACGCTAACAAGTATTTGTAGTAGTGCGAGTTGATTATGGCACAGTTATCCCCCAACTCGGGTTCAAGTTTTACCTCATCCAGTTTGGTTTGTGCACAGGGGAAGGAGAATGTAAATCCTACAGGAAGCTTTTTATCCTTGATTTTTTGCTTCTCCATGAAGTCGCCCAGGCAGTCGGCTACATGGGCAAAGAGCTGCAGACAGAAAAGGGACTTTAACAGAATGACAAGACAGCATTTGACTAACAAACATTAGACAGGTTTCTTTATTGTTACACTGAACACGCTTGACTTCACAGTTCTTCTAAATCATTAGCTTCACGGAGAATATATCAGTATCTAACCGAGTTAGTTTAATGACAGAGGCACGACTGCTGTATTTTATTGTTGCACGGAGCAGTACAGGCTTCAGGTCTGCTGGTTGCTTAGTAACCGTTTCACAAGTCTAGACATGGGTAATTTGTAATATACAAGACAAACATTCATAACATTATGTAAATACTTTGGATCAGTGCCCTGTAGTGCCCATTGTTTGGAGTAACTGTACACTCTAATGAAAGCTGGTCAGAATGTTTATTTCACAAAATCACAATGTAAATGAGCCTCTTTGTTAACAAACCTGTTCATATATCACGTTACGTTTTTGGCCAGCTGTCCCTCAGACATTTCATTAAACAGCATCTGTCTTGTTCTGCCTGTGTAAGTCAACCTCTTGAGGCGGTCACACTGCCTCAGACAGTTGCTTTTGTTTTGGTTATCATGTTACAATATGAGTGCCAGCTGTTCTCTACTAGTTCAGTGTAGGTCAGCAGAGGTTCTGACGTCACTCTCATGACGCTCTCCTCGTTACAGAGGAGGTTGTTTTACACACACACACGCCGACTTTAAACACCACCAATCTCTCTACATTGATCTTAGAGAATATACCATGTTCTTAGCAGTGGCCATACATTTTTTTTAGGGAACCATGAACCAGGTTTATCGTTTTATTTTGGAAATATCTCGAACTTTGAACCCTGATGTTTCAAAGTTAAGACTCTTGGAGAGTTTAACACCTACAAGTGTAGTCCTAGTCAATACACCCGGATGGTGACGAAAGGAAAACCCTGAATAGAAGTGGAAATAAAAAAATCCAGGCATCATTTAATCTGATTTTTATGCTTCCATGTTTTCAGACGGCCCATAGACCAATAGATGAGGAATGCCTTGAAGGAATTTCATCACATTTGGCACAAGCGTCTACTTGGACTCAAGATGAACTAATTAGATTTTGGTGATCAAAGGTCAGTGACCTCATGTCTGACCATTCCCGTGAACCTGACTAGTTGGCATACATCTGCAAAGGGGTAAGTCTAGTTTTTTTGTTTTTTCTCAGAATGACACTGGAAAAAGTCCCACTGTGACTCTCCAGAGCCAAAGGTGGCGTCTCCACACGTCTCGTTGTGTCCAACCAACAGATCCACAGAGACTCAGCTGATTCTCATGTCTGACAAAGATAAACATCAGCTCCTCACATTAAAGAAGGTGGAACCAGAACATGTCGGTCACTGTTGCTTCTAAATAGCTGAGGTTCATTTTCTACCAGTGGAGGTTTCCTCCTCCTTCCAGAGGAGAAAGTCTCAGCTGGTCACTTTATGTTAGTTTTTCCCTTCATTTGTCATCCATGTATTTGTGTATACCTGTGTCCCGCTCCCATGGATGATGTCATCAGGGGTCTCATAAACCTGGCTCTCCATCTGGACCGGCTGCTTCTTGTCCCGCGTTACCTTCACACGGAGTATCCGAAAGTTCGACCCCCCGAGGTCCAGAGCTATAAAGTCTCCCTTTTCTGTCAGAATGAGAACACCATCAAACATTATTGATTCCAAATGATAAACTGTAATTCTTGCTGTCCAAAATGTAAACTTTTAGGGATTCAAGAAAAATGTCCTTGTGCAAGTTGCATGACAGTTTATTTATGTCATTATTATCCAAAGGTTTCTGAGAGGCATTTGAGGCACAAAGATTAATGGAGGATTGTGTGAGCCAGGGGTCGGCAATCTGGTTCAACCATGGGCCAGGTTTTCCCAGGCAGGGTGGAGAAGCAGCCTGTATGTTTTGTTGTATTTGACTATTATTTGAATTAATTTAAAGCTACTCTGCCTAATGTCTTCTCAGCCTAGAGGGTCTAGCAAAACTCAGAACACGTTTTTTATCCTCTTGACACACTATTATTTGGATACAGATCTGTGTTTATGGCAGTCATTGTTTAGAACGTGGTTGTGTGACAAAACACACAAGCAACAAGAGCTATAGAACGGCCAGAAACTGAGAGCATGAAAAGGGAAATGCCTGTTACTCAAGTGAAGACAAATAAATGACCTAATTTCACAATGCATTTCAGCCATTTTTGGTAAATGGACCACACTTGTATGATGCTTTTCCACAAAAGCCTTTTATGTGAGCGAAGCCAGCAGCCAGGTGCTGAGGTGGAGCGTCACTGCAGGCGAGAAGCCCAGATGTAACTCGATCCTCCGTAGAGAGAAGCTTTCTCATAGCATTAAACATTACACACAACCTGCTTTGTTTAATTTAAAGCTACAGGTCACAGGAGGCATTTACTGCTGCTGGGATTAGACCTGTAACCTTTCAGTTATGACAAATGACATCTTGCCCCCAACAAAGCAGTGTTCTGCTTTTAGTGCCGCCATGACTGTGAGGTTGTATTTATCCCTTTGACCTGACTGGAATGACATGTGACCAGGCTTGACATATAGAAGTGTTACTGACTGGCTGCAAAGCGTGCGTCCACTTTATCGCCCCTGTGCCGCCATAACCTCAGTGCTAGGATGTGTAATGCTGCTTCTTCATTTTTACACATGCTGAATTTTCTGTATTTTTGTAGTAAGCTCATTATTAAGACATCAAGCCTGGTTCAGTTTGGCCTCAAGGGCAATTTGGTTTTACAGGTTTACAATGTGCTCGACCATTCACAGACTCACATACAGTACAAACAGCAACACCCCATCGCCGATAAGTCAGGAACAGCATCAGCATCAAACGGTGTACGACTTTGAAGGGAAAGACAAGAAAGCTGGAGTATAATCGGATACTGTGACTTTTTTTTTTTTTTTACACTTTTAGCAGCCTGATAGCTGAAAGAATACAGGACTTATAAGTTTGTTTTGCCAAGGGTGTGTTGTATTGCTGGCCAGGCATTACAGAGAACATGGTGAGAACAGTTCCTCCCAGAGGGAGCACAGGTCTGTCTGATTATCTTAGAGCAAACCTTAACAATACTGTTCAGACTCTTCCTGTCCTTCACAGACAAACCATTAAACCAACTGATAAAAGTTAAAAGGCCTGATTGAATGTGCTTAAAATAGTGTTACAGACATTAAAAGAATCAAGCTTCTGTAACAAAAGTAAGTCTCAAGTCTATGTTGAACCAACAGACAGAAGTCCTGTCAGTAATAAACTAGAGTAAGAAACACTTCAGCCAAACATAAAGCACCAAAACTCAGTTGGACAACAGAAATATAACTGGCTGAACTTTAATACTGCCTACAAACATAGAGCTTTCAGTCCTTCAGTCTCCAAAATGCTGATCTAATGAGAGCAGGAGCAGCTGTGGTCACATAGTAAGTTTAGATCCCAACAAGAATTCACGTTTATATTTGTCTCCTGGCTCTTTACCAGAATCCAGGCTTGGTAAACGGCTAAATCTGAGCAGTCACAAACACAGGTGACCAGAGCAGTGTTTGCTGTGCCACAGTAAGCCAGTGACCGAGTACCGATGGTCTCTGGCTTAATGCTGAACTCTGGAGAGCCCCCACTTACATAACTTGACTTCATTACTCCCTATAGTCAGCATTCATAGTATATCTTTTTGCTCAGCTGATAATATGACCAGTGTCGCTGGACAAAACCACCGGATGTACATTTTAAAGCTGGACCAAATATTTCATTTTGCTTGTTATGGAACGTTCACTGGGCTTATGCATGACGTGTGGATGAGTGCTTTAGAAACCATTAAAAGACGGTTAAAGTTACATCTCTTTGCTGAACTGTTATCGAAAGCCCTTCTAGCAGCTAATGGTTTTGTACTGGAAGGGCTTGCGCCCCCCCCCCCCCCCCCCTTGTGAATCTGCTGTGCCGTCCCTGCTAGAGTCAAAATGTGATGTTTGTCAGTATTTAATGAATGAAAAATAAAAATGAATGACACATTTTTGCCTTAAACACAACCAACATTTTCCTGGTGTGTTATAATTTATGTTGGACAAATAATTTCACATTAAAATTGGTCACATTTTATGCACTATACATCAGCAATGTCCCCGACTGGGAGCAAATAAAGAGAGCAAGGTTAGCCAACAAAAGCACTGTGTGTCTCATTTTTACACAAAATCAACAGTTTGATTTCTTAATAATTTATTGTTTATTATTTCATAGAACTAGGGCTTTAATCTACTTTTGCTCCAGCCTGGCCCCCCCACCCATAATTTTCTAGATCCACCCCTGGGAAACAGTAGGATGACAAAAAGCTCTTATCTTAGTTTTTTGGGGGCTTTCAACTGTTAGCATGTTCCACATTAAGGCTGCACAGTGATAGCCAAGAAAAAGCAGCCCTTGTATACTGTCTCATGACAAATGAGCGAGCTGCTAAAACTAACCATGAGATTCAGTGTAAATCTCTACAGCTAGTAAATGTGGAATGGTTTATTTTGCCAAACCCCATTTTTAATACCATTTGGGGGGATTTTTCATTACTAGAAGTAAAGAAGTTTTCATTACTAGAAGTAAAGAAGTTTTCATTACTAGAAGAGCCCATCTTCTGACTACAGGTTTCAGGTTGCGTCTTCACACACGAGGGATTCACAGGACATCCAACCAGGATGGCTCAGTGGAGTCTCAGGTTTCAAGAATTAAACTAATGGGATTTAGGCTGGATTTATGAAGCTTTGACAGGAAAATGTAAGCTTAACACTTCCATCTTTATTATTAACTTTTGTCCTTAGTCTAATCTTATTATGTAGCAAAGATGGCTCTGAACTGACATTAGCTGAGCTACGATTTCATTTGGCTTGAGACACTGAAAGTCTGCCCTGAATTAGATGAACAGTTACCGAACTACGTACAGATTATCTTTGATTGTTGTTGCTATGGCCGCCCTGTCCATCATGTCTGTTGTGCCTTCAAATGTTTGAACTGTCACCATGGTTTCACTTCTGCCCTTTGCTTGTTCCCTCCCAACCTCGTGCAGTTGTTGAAACCTGAGGCTATTTATAATGTGAAAGAAGGCAGGAGACGGCGCTCCCCTCCACTGGCCTCGATCAGGCCTCCCCATCCCTGAGAGGTTGTTTTTGAGTTAGGTGCTGTTTACTAACAAGGGCGAGCAGTGCACAGACCCAGTTTATGGAGAGGACGTCCCATCGCTGTGACTCTAAAAGCCTTTCAGACGAGGGGTTTCTCTCATCTCTTCGCAAGTTATTGACTGTAACTTGTAATGATCTGATTATTAAAGCACATAGTTTTCCTGTAACTTCAATATTGGAGCCTTAGAAAATAATACAAATGTATGGCCAGGAGTTCTGATTGGTTTGTTAGTGATTATTAAGACATGGAAACTGTTTGAATGTGTTTGAAACTGTGACTTTCCTTGGCACATTGTGCATCATCAGCCATTACTATCATCATTATTATTATATCACAGGTCACTAAATTGTCTTGGTGATACAAATGAGGCGATCGAGCTGTTTGAACCGTCCGGCCCCGGGGTTAAAACGATGGGGATGTACTGATCTGAACCACAACACAAAGAGGTTTAGTCACATACAGCAACAGGCCCGACGACTGTAACATATCAGCACATTTTTAAAGAGATAAAAACAGGATACATCAGGATTTGGTTGAACAGTTTGGTTATAAAACTCAACATGGCACGGCCTCTTTGTTAAACCACACCAAGATCTGAAAGGGATTCACTTTGACCGGACTTTATTTCTTCATGGTACCTTGTATTTTTGATACATTTCTGTGTAATATCACGTCATTTGAGTTTTATTAAACCTGAACTCCGTTTACTATGTTTTTAAACAACATCATGCTTCTTAGACACATGTGAAAGGTAATTAAATAATTAACTAATAGACTTCCAATCAATACCTAATAGAGGAAAGCAGGTCATCAGCCACACGCTCATCAGCTCACCTTTTTAAGATGTGATTTAAACTCAACTGTGAGCTGTGTTTTTTAATATATATGAGCTATAAAGAATTTGGGGGCGCTGTTGGACACCCTTACAAAACCAAGGAGGGCGTTTTGAACACACTGAGCTAGCACAACACTCCATTTGCCCTCAGACTGTGCGTGTACCTGATCCATCAGGGATGGACCTGACGAAGGTGGGCAGCATCTTGATCGAGGCGGTGGGGTTGGTGTCACGGCAGAGCCCGTTCTCCATATCTCGCCGGAACCTGTTCATGATGTCCTTCAGCGTTTCGTCTGAGAAACGCATGGAGTACAGGTACTTATCGATCTGAAAAGCAGGTACAGGACACAAACGCAGGTTGTCAGAGAGTGTGCATGTCAAAATATTTTTACATCGAGTAAAGTGGACATAATATATTGGAAGCTAAACCCAGACAAAGGACGTACAGTTAAATAAATCAGTGTGCTGCAACTCTCCGGGTGTTTTCTGCTATATTAGTTCAACTGACTCTTAACCACTGTTAACATTTAAACACTGCCCTGTTTCCTCCTTTGTGTGACATGTATCAATATAATAACGCACTGTAAGGTGTCCTGGTACAGAAACTGGATTGTTGCCTGCACCTCTTTTGTCATATTTGTATGACTGTGTTTTAGAAACATGAGACAAAACTGACAAAACTAAAACAGCTAAAGTGGAGAAACTTTCAGTATGTTCAGTTTGTGAAAAACAGCTCCACTGTGCAGTAAATGTGTTGTAGTACAGTTTAAAGCATCTGATTAATGGGGTGGTTGTTAGGAGGGATTCGCCCTGGATGTTCCTGTCATGGGGCCGTCTGCAGTGGTCACACGGCATCAGTATAAATACCTGAGGTGTATCGTAGTGTTCTTACTCTGAAGGAGTGCATGTGGAGACAACTCTTTCACTGCCCAGTCATTTGAGCTGTTCAACTGAAGACAGAGGGTTCTTAGACTTCTAGAGTCTTCTTTGGTTTTAGGGCTGCTGTGTATGAGCCTCTCAGACAGACAGATGTAATGTGTGCTACAATAACTCGGCAGAATCTGTACGTAGAAACATTCAAATCCAAGGCATCATGTCATTTATAGCTGCACCATCACGTCACGTTTGTGTGAAGCATCGGTTTGAAAGCATTACCCTTAAATTCAGCCCGGCATAGCTGTTGTCTTTGTGATCCACTGAGGTTCTGTGTTTGAACGGTGCTTGGATGTGTGCAAAGGTGAACCCAGGGATGGGGACATGAGAGGCCTGACAGGAAATAAGGCCTACTTCTAAATTTAACTGCATTTCTTAATGTGGTATTTCAGTGTGCCAGTCTCATCTGGGATTCACGTGGTTGGAAGACTCTCACCCTCTCGAGGATTGTTTTCACGCCAGCAGAGACAGTGTCATGTCACAGTAGTAACTTCATCAGAGATGTGCAAATACTGTGCTGTGACATCATCAATCTCCCCCTCCATTTGACTCCCCCCATGGGAACTTCTGGCTGGTCTGCCATCCCGCCCAGTGGTTTATTTCTGCTGAAGCCAAGGTCAGTGTGTTTGGGCAGCCTGTGACCAGGCTCGGGTTTCACTGGTGTCAACATTTTGTTCTACTAATGGGTTGAGCTCTTAGAAGGATCATATGCATAAACAGAGGGGAGATGAAATAGCAGACAGCAACAAAACAAAGGACTGAGTGTTAAAAGCAGAGAAGCAGAGAGGAGACTGTAGCGCTCACGACTTTCCCAGCATCCTCTGCAGACACCTGTCTGCTTCAAACGCCCTGGCAACCGATGCTCCGGAAACACTCGACAACGAGGGTCTATCTGCACCACCATCACTGACCACAGTCCTTCTCAAGGACATCCATGTCAAACCCTGCCAAGCGCTGAACAAACTATGATACAATCCAATCCCACTTTGTTTTTCACGGCCTCCTCCTCCTCCTCCTCCTCTCCCGGTTCCCAGCCTGATACACACCCCGCAGGCTCAGTGCTGATGTCTGGGGCTGTCAGCTAATGCTAACCGGCGTCCATGGCGGTCCATAGGCTGCTGTCACATCGCACTGCCCCCCAGTCCTGCACCAAAGGAGCGACGTGGCAGCCCCCAGCTGCTTCACTCACCTTTTTATTTTGATCATCCTTCAGCTCGGTGAAGTAGTAGGCCAGAAGCTGAGCCGCTATCATCCTGTCTGGATCTGTCACTGACTACAAGGTGTTTAGAGAGGAAAGGAGCAAAGGAAGGCTGCTGTCCGGTCTCTTTGGGCCCCCCCCACACTGATGCCTTGTTATCCTGCTGCGGAGGAACAAGAAGGCCTGAGCTGAGCAAAATGGCAAAGCAAGGTTAAAAGGAAAAAGTGTGAAACAAGAGTGCAGCAGGGGTTGTGCGTGTGTCTGCGACAGGCACGCACGCACACACACACGGAGGCTGGATCTGAGCGTGTCTCCTCCCTCTGAGCTGCGAGCTCCCTGTTAGCTCTGGGGAGATGCAGCAGCTCTGCACTGGAATGGTGGTTCAGCTGTGCCCTGCCCCCACCGAGGGCTCCGATTGGTCGAGCTGGGGACGTGAAGGAGGGGAGGAGGGAAGGAGGGAAGGAGGGGGCTTTTCCTACAGCAGCAAGGGGGTGAGGAGGGGGACTGAGAGCTGAAGGAGGAAGTTGCATCCACATATTACTGCAGCTGACAGAGAGACCTCCCCCACCCGGCACATCTCCCACGTTGCCACGGCATCCAGAGGTGGACGTGCAGGGGGGCAGGGCGACCACACAGTGATGTCATCAGTTGCGTTCCTGCTGCATCACATTCAGCATCAGCTACAGGCTGAAGTGCATCAGATACCAGCTGCAACCATGTCCTCAAAACTACACACGTACAGATAAACAGGTTTACAACAGTTTTTTATCTCCTTAACGAAACCCAAACCTTAACGAAGGTGATAGTGTTCAGTTTTTGTTGATTCAGCTGTGTGATGATTTTGGAAGTGTTCACATACATTTCCTTGTCTCCACTTGTCTCTACTGACCTTGTGCAAGTAACTATGAATCAAATCGTCCTGAATGCATTATAAAAAACACATTCCATTTCCCTCATTGTGACTCACTGACAAATGTCCCCTTTTAGTTATAGACGACGAGGCCTGATGCATTCAGCATTGCTATACATAGTCAGAGGTGACCCCTAATCGCTCTCTGACTCTCCCCCCTGCAGCTTGGTCACGTCACCACGTTGAATGTGGTGACGTGACCAAGGCCTCTGACGTCCCTCCTTTATCCCCTGAACCG